AAAATTTTGATGACGATATCTATATAACCGGAAAAATCGAGAATTAGGCAGAAAATTTTCGTTGGACAGAGAATTTCATTTAAAAAAAAATTTTTTTTCTTTTTTTTACTAGAATCTGATTTTAAATTAATTAGATATTAATTATATTAAAAATATTATTATTAATTAGATAATTTTGCGCTACGCTTTTTAAAACGTGGAAAAGTAGGGAAATTCTATTTCGTATATGTAAAAGTCAAAGAGAAAAAGTATAAAAAAAGGAAAAAAAAAAATAAAATCATAAATTTTTTTTAAAAACGGTAAAAAATTCAGTTTTTAAAATAATTTTTGGAAAAAAAAAAAATTTCATCTGGAACAGAGAAAAATTTTACTAAAATATGGAAAGATTTAATTGAAATAGAAATTTTGCTATTTTAGTGAAACTTTATTCGCTGCTCCAGGTAATCTTTTCTTCCGTGTTCCAATCTACCGAAATTAATTTTGTTTAGGGTTGTCAATTTTTTTTTCTGCTTGAGTATTTAAAATTACAATATAATTATGAAAAATTAAAAAATAATTAATTTGTCATTAAATTTTTTTTTTCAAATAAAACTAAAAATTCTCGAAAATTAAAAATTTGAACTTCTCTCATAATTTGTTTTATTTTTCATTGCCGATTTTTTTTATATAGGGTTTTTCATGATTTTAAACAATCAAGTGCATAGATTTTAAAAAATTAATATTTTTTCAAAAAATGAAAATTTTGAAAAATATAAAAAACCTATTTGTAAAATAGTTAGAAATTAATTTTTTTATTTTTCATAGTTAAAATATGTGATTTCAGGTTCTCCAAAAAAGAAATTGTATGCCCTTAAAAAAAGTTAATTTTAATTTTATTTTTTATGTATAATTTTTATTAGAACAAATTTTCATTAAAATTAATTAATAATAATATAATAAAATATAATAAAATTTTTAATTCATATTCTGAAAAATTGATTCATTTAAATAAAAATTTGGACAAATAGAAATTTTTTTAAATAAAAATTCAGTTAATTCAAAATTTGTCGAGAAAAATTTTATGTGACATGAAAATTTAGTTAAATAAAAATTCGGTTAAAAAAAAATTTGTCGAGAAAAAATTTCCGTGACATGAAAATTCAGTTAAATAAAAATTTGGGTAAATTTTTCAAGAAAAAATTTCCGTGTTATGAAAATTCAGTTAAATAGAAATTTTTGCTAAAATTTCTGTCACATAAAAATTCATTAAAATAAATATTCGTATAGGTAAAATTTTCAATAAAATAAAATTTATTAATTTTATGAGAAAATTCTGTCAAATAAAAATTCAAATTAGAAAATTTTCCATAAAAAATTTTTTTTTTTCAAATAGTTAAATACATCTAAATTTTAAGCAATTAATTTTTGTTGCTTCTATAAAATTAAATAAATTTAGTTTCTATATTGTTTTTAAAATTTTACTCCATCTAATTTTTTTTTTCTGTACGCGATCAATTTTACATTTTTGAAGTGAAATATTTAGTATATATAAATAAAATAATTATATGAAATTCTCAGTCGTACAATTTTCCGGTTTTTTTTCTTCACATCCCGTGAAGATATTAATTTTTTTTTTTTTTTAATTCATTCGGAAATATGCTTCATTCTCAAGGCTATTATGTGGAATCTAGAAGAATAAATGATTATCTTTTGTATTTAATTGATAAAACGTAAGCGCAATTCCGGTCCAAACCGGAACGAGCAACTTTAATAAATATAAAACATTACCTGTTGCACGTCCTTGACTCTCAGATTATTGCGAAACTCACGGCTAGACTACACCTTCGGAGATCTGTTTATCCTTGAACTTTTATCTCAAAAAAAAAGAAAAAAGAAAAAGAACAAAACAAAAATTTGAAATTTTGAGCTTTCATTTAAAAAAAAAAATAATTTCATTTTTGACAAAATTCCTCTTATTCACATTTTAATGGAAAATACAAATTTATTCCAATTTTTTTCATTATTCTGTCAATAATTCATATAGATTATTAGCAAATTTCGTAATTTCGAGTCTCTATTTCCCCCCCCCCTTTTTTTTAAAATTATTATTTGACTTTGTATGAGCGTTATTATAAAATTATTTTTTTTAAATGAGAAATAAATTTTGAAATTTGTAAAGCTATTATTATATTGGATCTCGCGAGCTAAGAAACTCGCAACTATATTGTATATATATATATATATATATACATATACAATATAATATATATGTAATACTTCCATGCAAGTTTGCAAGTACTCTCGTCGCGGGCAAAGTGCATAAGCAGGTGTCTGCAATCTTGGTAAATGCGCATTCCTCTAAGGCAATTTACTAGCTTTCTCGAAATCGACTTGTTGTCCAAGAAATTATTTGCATAGGACTCTATATAGTTAACGCGCAACCAAAATTACAAAATGAACAATGCAAATTGTCTTTTTTTCCCAAAACAAAAAAAAAGTAAGGTTGAAAAAAAACTGTCACAATTCAAACAGAAGGAAAAAATCATTTTTTTAAATCTTATTTATAATTATTATTATTATTATTATTATTATTATTATTATATATTTTTTATTTCATTCATTTATTTTCATTTTCAATTTTTTAATTAATAATAATAATAATAATAATAATAATAAAGTATTATTGAAATTAATATTGAATAAATAATTATTTCATAATTTTAATTTATAATAATTGTGATCTATAATTAATAATAATAAAATAATTAATAATAATAAAAATGTTTTCTAGGTACTGGGTCGACAGAAATTCTGCGATAAAATTGAATTAAAAAATACAAAGAGCTCTGTTTTTTATTTGCTTGTTATAATATAATATAATTAAAATTTAATTTTACTATTTAAATTAAATTTTTTATTATTATTGTTATTATTATTATTTTAGTATTCATTGTATTTTTATAAACTATTTTATTTTTATTATTATTATTATTATTATTATTATTATTATTTATACATTGATTTATTTGTTGTTACAACGAATTTTTTTGCCAGAATTACTATGTAACTGAAAATTTTTATTTTATTCAAACGACATTATATTTTACTTAATTTTCATTAAATATAATTTTTAAATCAATAAAATTTCTATTTATAAATTTTTATTTAACCGAATTTCCAATTCAACTAAATTTTTATTTCGATGAATTTTCATTTTTCTTCCTATTTCATTGAGCCAAAAAAAGCTTAATAAAATATACTATATTAGATAAAGAAAATCAAAATTATTAAAATTATATATTTGTTATTAAAAATTCAGCCTAATATAAAAATTCCGTTTAAATAGAAATTCGATTAAATATAATTTTGGTTTAATAAAATTTAATATAAATCAATGAGAATTTATTTTATAAAATTTGACTAAATTAAAATTTTTCCTAAATAAATGATATTCACTGAAAATTTAAGTATTTAACTAAAATAGAAAATCACAAAATTATTTCATTCGATCAAATAAAAAATTGTGAATAAAAATTTCAATGAATAAAATTTTATGCTAAAATATATCAAAAAAAAAATTTAATAAATAAAAATTTGTCCTAATAAATAAAATTCACTAAAAATTCTCTCCTTCGATCAAATGAAAACCGCAATAAAAATTTTAATGAACAAATTTTTGAGGCAAATATAAAAAAAATGTTTACTGAATAAAAATTCTCTTTTATTAAATTTTTAAATTCTCTTTAATAAAAATTCGTTTAATTATATATATGTAAATTCAATGAACTTACGAATTTAACGAAAAAATCTATACTGAAAATTCAAATTTTTCTGTTTAAAAAATTTTTTATCACCTTTTTGTTATTTATGACAATATATAATGAACAAATTAATTGAAAATAATATCATTTAGAAATATACACGGCTATTACGGTTAATAATAACTTATATTGGGTATATGGTCTTCGAATCTTTATATAACTTGTACATGTGTTATTGCTACAAAAGTTGTTATAATTAGAGGCCTAGATTTTAAAGTATGAATCGTGTGCTGGATATTGGCATGGAAGTGTATATATATAATGCATATTTATTGTATATGTATTTATATTTAATATATCTATATATGAATAAAGTGAACGGCTTGATAAATATCGTGTATCTACTCGAGGCGTTGAGATTCTTAAATAGTAAATATTCATGAAGGTTGGCTATAAATAATCGCACGCGACAGGGTACAGGCCACTCCAATAAACACCCATTCTATATAATGTTCTTTTATTTTAAATTATACATTTGCAATTAATTTTCATCTTATATTAGATTTCACTTCCAGCTTTTTAATCTTTCGAATAAGTATACATATATATTAATATAAATATAGTTTCGCTTTTCCCTTAATGTAGTCTACTGTAAGAAATTATAAATTTTATTCAGATATATATATACCTATATTTTTTTCTGTCAATAATTTTTTCATTGTCCAAAAGTAAAAATCATTAGTTCGAAAAAATTTTTCTGTGATATTTTCTAATTAATTTATAAACTATTTTATTTTTACAAAAATTTTCATAAAAATAAAAGAATTTTCTGTTTTACTCATACGAAAATTTTTTTTCATACGAATTTTTCTTGAGCAGAATTTTTATTTAATTCGAATTTTCATTTATTTATATTTTGGTGGTAAAGTCCACTATAAAATTTATTATTAACGATTAGAAGAAAAAAAATATTTTTTGAAACGGAAAATAGTAAAATGTTTTTATTAAGAAAATGTGTTTTTTTTTTTATAATTTGTTAATGAAAAAAAATTGAAAAAAATATATTTCAGCCGAAAATTTATTTTCAAAAAAATTTCATAAAATAGAATTTTTATTGTACTTGGATTTATATTTGACAGAAATTTTTATTTAAATTTTCGTTTAAGTGAATTTATATTTTTAACGCAAAAAAACTATATTATTTAGCCGAATTTCCGTTAAATAGAATTTTTAATTTGAAATTTTAATTTTTCTTTTTAGTGCACGAGATGAAACCAGAGGAGATTGGAATTGTTGGATTTCGAGGTGATGCTGATAAACAACCGTTTATGGTTGGTTTTTTCAAAAGTTCGGGAGTTAGAGAAAAAAAATTCAGACAAAAACGAGACGCCAGGAGGAAAAAGAAAAGCGATTCATCGAGTTTGGAGTATCGTAGTAATCCCTATATAGGTAAATTTAAAATTGTTGAATTTTATTAATATTTATTTATTTCAAATATTATATATGGGTCAGAATTTCTCAAATGGATCACCTAAAATTCAGAAATTTTTTTTTTAGTCTCATTTTTTTTCTCAACGATTTCTTACACAAAATTGTGTGAGGAATTCAAAAAAAAAAATTTAATTTTCTGTCAAGAACGTCAAGAACACTATTTTTTAATAACATTTTATAAATAAATAATATAAAAATAATAATAATAAATAATAAAAAAAATAAAAATAAATAATATGAAATTTTTTCAAAATAAAAATTATATTTAGAAACTACATTTTAAGACGAGGAAAATTCTTTTTTTTTTTTAATTGGTGAACAGGAACTCGAGAAAAAATTTTTTTAAAATAAGACTGCAAAAAATTTCAATTGTTTATAACTTTAACAAAAAATTTTTTTTGACCTAAAAATTTCAGGGACTTATTTTTACCATGTAAGAAGTCAAAAGAAATGATTTTTGATTAAAAAAAAAATTTCTGAATTTTAGGTGATCCGTTTGAGAAATTCTGACCCATATAGTATATATTTTTTATTAATAATAATAATTATTGTGCTAATTAATTCATTGATAAAAGAATAAAAAAAAATTTTTCATTTCATTATAAGTCATTAAATTTATTCATAGAAATAAATTAAAATAACATAGAAAATCATATTATAAATAAAATTCAGAAATGGAAATAAATTAATAGAAAAAATAAATTTTCTGTATGTGAATTTTTTCTTCACAAAAATTACTTTCATAATAATTACTTCATTAATTAAAAAATTAAATTATTTATATATAAATAAAAGTAAAAATTTATCAAAAAAACTGCAAAATTTGTTGTTTTTAATTTTAAAAAATTTGTAAAGAAATATTTTTTTTTTTTGTGTAATTTCTCTATAAATTATTTTTTAACAAGAAATTTTTAATTGGTAATAAAAAAATCAGTTTCAAAAAAAAAAAAAAATTTGCTGTTTTTCTTACAGATGCAGCGACTCAGTACAATTCAAGAACATGTAAAATACAAACCCTTTACGTGAGTTTTCGTGATCTCCAATGGCAGGTGAGAAACGATACAAATTTTTCGAAATATTTATTCAATTAAATTAATTAATTAAATCAGTTTGTGAAATTTTTTTCTAATTTTTTTCCAAAAATCACATTTTTATTGGAAATTTGTCTTTAAATGAAAAATTTACCATTTTACTAAAAAAAAAAAAAATTTAATTACCAACGACAATATTCGAAAAAGAAAATTTATATTTAATTCAATTTTTATTATTTTAAATTAATAATAAATAAAAAAAAATGTTAAAATTAAATTAATTAGGTACAAATAAAATTATGAATTAAATAAATTACTACTGAAATAATAAATAAAGTAAATAATTAAATTAGTTAAGTAAAATATTAATTGCAGAAAAAAATCTAAATGTTAAAAATTAATGAATAAAATTTTAGATAAAATCACTTGATATAAAGTATAGAAATACTCCCTCAATAAGGAAGCAATTAAAAATATCAAAAATTTATTAGGTACATTTCTTATTTTTTTTATTAAATTTTTGATGAAAAGAAACAAAAAAAAAGTGTCGTACAGATTATTTTAAAAACAAAATTGTAGACGTATTTAAATTTATTTTTGTTATTTCAGGATTGGATTATCGCACCCGATGGATATGACGCTTACTATTGCAGTGGGGAATGTAATTTTCCTTTAAATGCACACATGAATGCAACAAATCATGCCATAGTTCAAACACTTGTGCATCTTGTAAATCCTGGTAAAGTGCCAAAACCATGTTGTGCACCAACAAAACTCTCGGCAATTTCCGTTCTCTATTTTCTCGACGAGAGTAATGTTATTCTTAAAAAATACAAAAATATGGTCGTCAAAAGTTGTGGATGTCACTGAAAGAAAATTTTCTTTTTAATTTTCAATTTTAGCAATTTTTATTGGTAATTCTTTTTTTTCTATTTTTTTTTTTTAAGAATAAATATTTGAATCCTGATTTTTCAAGATAAAATAATGTTTAACATGTACATATATTATGATAGTTTATTTTTAAATCGTAAATATTAATTAGATAAGAAAAAAAAACTTTATTTTATCTAAAAAAAATTAAGGATCTAGAAATTTTTTTGTATTTTTAATTTTTAGAATTAAAAAAAAGAACTAACAATTTTTTTTTTTATATTTCAAAATTGACGCGCAATTTAAATTTTATTGTTTACCTTTTTAAATCTGAGGAAAAATACTCATAGAAGTGAAAAAAAAACATTCCACTGTTAAAAATATTTTTTCTTTTTAAATATCGATGATCATTGTTTTTTTTTAAATAATCATTTAGCATTTTTCGAATTTTACGCTTTACTTATGAAAGGAAATTCTTATTTGTCAGTGAGTTGCTGATTCTTAATGCAAAATGTTTAAAGAAGAAATTGACAAAAATTTGAAGAACAAATAATAATTCCAATGCAATGACATTGAGTCGATTTTCATTTCTCAAGTTGTTAACAATTTTACAATACTGATTTCTTTTCTAAGATGCTAAATGAATATTTAATTATTTTTTTTTTTTTTAAATATTTTTCTAACACTCTATATTATTAAAGTAATATAAAATATAGTTTTCGAATGAAATAACATATTTTCTGTTAGAATCGATTTTTCAGTCGATTAAAAAAAAAGAGAGAAAAATTCATCAATCGAAATCAATTGCTTCAGTTTTAATTGAAGTTAAAATATGATTTTTTTAAAAATAAATTACCAAAATCATTTATGTACAGACAAAAAATGTTGAAAAAAATATTGTTCATCATCAGAGAAAGAAGTTTCAAAAATTGGTATTTCTTTTTTTTCTCTGATAAAAAAAAAAATATATTGTATTTACTAACTTATTATCTTAAGTTATTTATAAATGTTTATATACTCAGATGTTTTTTTTTTAGAAATAATAATATACGTGTTTTGTAAGAATTTTGTACGAACTGAAAATGAATCTGTGGTTAAGTTTTTTTTTTATTATTTTTTTTTTTTTTTTAGTACGAATTGATTGTAAATGCGGCAAAATTGTTTTTAAGATTAATTAACGCTAACAATCAATGTAAATAAATTTCTGTACATAGACGTTAATAATTTACGTGACACAAAATATAGAATTTGTGCTTTAAACTATTTTTATTTTTTACTTTCGTATTTGTTTTTAAATTAATATTTTTTTTTACCGATTATAATGGGGCTATTATACTCAGTGCCAGTTATTACGAATTTGAATGTTGAAAATATAAAATGGAATTTTTTTTCAAATTCATTCGATTTACTTGAGGGTTTTTGGAGTTTCATAAAAATATAATTTCTTAATTATAAAATTCTGTATATTAAATCCATACTTGTAAATTATGATTATAAATTATTATCTTCTTTATATTGATATCATTAAAGTATCGCAAAATATTCCAAAATCCTCGCGATTCTCAAAAAATATTAATTTATAGATCCCTGTAAAGAAGTAGGACATTTGTAATATGTTGTAAACACTTTTTAAATTCTAAATTCAAAAATTTATTTAAAAATTTACATTAAGAATTATATTGAAAATTCTATGTAAATAAAATAAATTAATTGTAAAAATATTCATATTTATGAGAGTATAAAATGAAAAAATTAAAAATAGTTTCAAAATTTATAAAACTTTTTCTCTAAGTTCATTTATTTTTTTTTTTTTTTTAGAGTACAAAGACATGCTAAAATAATCTTAATTCAAATGATACTCTTTTTATGATGTAACCTCGATAACGAAAAAGTGAGCAGTTTTTATTTTTTTTTTTTTTATAAACTATATATCCAAGACACAAATGCAAAATTTGCACCGAGTGTTGAATTAATATAAGAAGCAATTAAACATTGGAATGCTGTTTTTAGGTTTTCTTTTTTAAATGCATCACAATGGTCCCCCAAAAACATTTATATTCACAGTTTGAATGTTAAATATACTACTATATATATGTTTAAACTAAAAAATTGTAATAAACATTGGAAAAAAACGGCGTATATATATATAATCTAGCTCTGAGTAATAAAAAATAGTTTAGAACTTTTGAAATCGATTACATCATTTTTTTTACATTTTTTTTGCGATGAACACTACATACATTTGATAAAATATAAACCCTCTTTTTTTTTTAGCAACAGTAATAAACTTTTCAATTTTTTTTTGGGTTCTCTTAGAACTTATATAGAAACTAGCACAATCTTTCATTTATTTTTTTTTCTTCAGTAAAATTTGAAATTTAGGCAAAGTCATAAAAAAAAAAAAAAAAAAATTAATTTCTAATTGCATGAAAAAAATTTGTAGGTCGTAAACATTTTAAATGTGGATATGTAACCTACAGTTGTATTTTTGTTTTTTAAATATATATATTTGTTTTTTATTTTTTTATGACTTTGCACTTTTTTTTTTTAATCATCAACTTCATTCAATCCAATCTTGTTGATAGAATTTTACAAGATCTATTTCCTTGGCTGTTGAATAATAACGGGCCTGGAATTATGAATATGACGAGGTGGTTCGTGAGTTGGCATGGGTTTCTCGTGAAATTTCTGCACAGCTTCCGGTGGAAAATCTGCATTTCCTTTTGCCAATACGCCACTGATCAACAGTTGCTTCGGTGGACTGTAAATAAAAATTTATATTTTCACAAAATTCATAAATCATACAAATTTTTATTTTCCGATTTGCTAAATCTCACAAAACACACACCAAAACGAAAATATTACGAAACATTTGCGGGATAAAAAATAATAATAATAATAATAATAATACAATCAGCTTTTGAAATAGAATTAAATGATTAATTTAATCACACATAAAACAGAGTAAAATTTCAACTTCTTTTCGTGAATTTTTTTTTCTGCTGCTCTTTAATTTAAATTGTTTATTTTTTGTTGTAAATTAAAATTTTTTTTACAAATATCGCAATTAAAATACGAGAAAGATGAGATGATGCAATCGCACAAAAGCAAATTAAATTAATAAATATTCAATTACGATAACCGAAGGTTCTGATTTATTATCAGAGGAAAGAAAACTTTGTTTCCATTTCAGAAAATTCAATTAAATACAAATAGAAGAAAAATAAATAAAAGATAGTCATATAGTAAACAGAAAACTATTTTCAGTAATTTAATATTTATGAATATTCTAATTATTAAAAAAAAAAAAAAAAAAATAGTCACAATACACATTTTTCAAAATTCAAACTATAAAATAAAAATAAAAAAAAAAAAAATATCAATTATTACCAACGTGATTTTGCAATTACACTCTGCTTAACACAACGTTTGCGTACGATGAATGGAGATAATTGTTTCTTTAAATCCACATCAGATAAAACTCTGTAAATAAAATGTAGTAAAATAAAAATAAAAAAATTTCTATAATATTCAAGTTCTCGATGTTTAAATAAAAAAAAAATTTTTTTTGTGATAATTTAATCACATATTTTCAGCAATAATTATGCAAATAATTTTTTAAATCTTTTCAAAATTAGAAAAAAAATTAATTAAGAAAAGAATATTTTCAAAATATTTTCTCTGAATTGTATATCAGGAAAATTTTAAGTTACAAAATTAATTAAAAAATAGTAACAAAAAAAAAATCAACATTTTGTTTTTTGGATGAAATTTGTGAATATTTATTTAACCTCAAAATATGAACTTAGAAATTTGCAAGAAAAGAAAAAATTCCCTTTAGTGCTAATAACAACAATAATAAAAAATAATTAAAACGATAATAATAATAATAATAATAATGTTAATATTAAAGTAACTTCTTCAATAAATAAACTTAAAAAATGGTAAAATAATAATAAATAAATAAATTTTTTCGAAACAAGAGAGATAAAAAAAAATTTGAATAACAGTGCTTTTACCACTATTGTTGAATTAATAATAAAAAAAAAAGACAATAGGAACTATAAAGCAAAGAAGAATTAATTTTTCAAATAAATACAAGAAGTATTTGTAGAAAAAGATAAGCGTAAAAATAAATTTTAAAATTAAAATTTTTGTTTAAATTACATATTGTTGAATAAAACTGAAATAAAAAAGATTTCTAGTTTCGAACTAAAAAAATAACTAAAAATTAATAACTAAAAAAGAAATAAATATTATTTGCAAATAAATACAAGAAACAATTTATTTTTACAATTATTCCAAGTAGATAACATAAAATAGCGAAAAAAAAAGTTCATCCTTAAAAACTATATAAGCCAATCAGGTATAAAGAAAGACAGGAAGTGACAGAAACCGGTTAAAACCGTTTTAACCTTCTTTGAGAATGAAAAACTTTGCAAAATATATATATAAAGCAAAAGCAAATGTTACAAAATGATATTTATAATTTAATATAATTCTGAAATCTTGAGAAATTGATAAAATATGTAATTACTCATTCTTATATATATATATATATATAGACAATAAACCGATAAATGTTTACAAACAATTTTTGCCACATCAACATTATCAAGAAAAAGATTATTGTAAGTATACAGAGTAAACAAGAAAAACAAAAAACAAAAAATTTACATATTCTCACCTAGTCGATGGCTTGCTTTCCTCGGCTTCCTTAGCCGGTTTGACCTCGCGTTCCTCCCTCGGTAGCTTATGTTGAATTATCCTCATGCCCCCGGCTTTCACTGTGAAATCGCGAAAAAAAAAAAACTCAGCTATATAATAAATACAGATATCCTCAACGACCTTGAGCCGCTTTTGTCTCCCCCTAATCACGTAGCACCTCTACTACGTAGTTTATACATATATACAGTAAAGTTTAAAAAAAAAAAAATTATTATTTTTCCAATATAAAACTAACCTGCTGGAGGATGTCCTCCTTTCAGTTCACCGTCTTCTATACTCGACATAATTATCTTCGAAAATTTAATAAAAAATAACACTTTAGATCTATGAACAATATGTTTCGAATACTCTTTTTTTTTAATAATGTATATATGTATATATCTTCCAAAGGTATACGATAAATAAACTCTTCTTGACGAGCGCTCGAAACGCAATAATGAATCCAGCGAGTCTTTGGAGAAATACACACACACACACACACACTCACACACGTAAAGATACGAGATTGCACGAATATCATCGTATCATTTTTTTTTCAATATCTTTACATTTTATTAGAGAACTTACAATATTGTAAGAATTTACCATATATTTCTAGAAAAAAAATTGTTATTTTTCATTTAAAGTTGTGTATTTTTTTTAAATTTGCCCATAATATATTTATTTTGTAAAAAGCCGGTATGCGCATGCGCACAAAAAGTAGCGGTATATTTAAATTTCTGTATACAAATTGCATATTATATTTTTTAATTTCACTTTTATTTACTTATGTATAAATATTGCTACTCAATAATTAAACGAACTTCAAATATAGAAAAAAATTGCTCTTTTTTCTTTTTAGATAAAAAAAAAATGCCATGAATTATCAATTTACCGAAACTTTCATATTTAATAATTATTTAATTAATAATGGAATTTGAATTGAAAAATTAATTATTGATTATATTTTATTAGTTTGTTTAGATGTAAATAAATATTGAGTCCAGAAAAAATGATTTTAAATGAAAATAATTAAACACGTTTTAATATTTTGTAGTAATGTTCATTTTTCTTTCTTCGCTAATTGAATAATTTTTAATATTTAAATAAAAAGAATTTATAACAGTTAATGTTTTCTTTTTTTCTTAGTAAAAATTAAAACAGGTTTTTCGAAATGCAACAAATTGTTTGCATTAAAAAATTAAAACAATTTATTTGAATCAAATTAGAAATAGTTTTATTAAAGAAAAATCCACCTTATCACTTGTGACAGATTAAAATATGATAAGAATTAATTTATGATGGACCCTGAGCTTGCAATTTCTCATCAGCGTACATATAATGTAGATCCTTACAGTCTTCGTCAGAGATATGAATCCATCCAGTTGGTTTCATGTGATAAACTGAAAAATTAATTTTTAAATTCATAAATTATATATTTTTTTCTATTTCTTTCGAATGGAAAAAATTTTAATTATTTAGAATTAAAATAGAAAACAGACCAAAAAAAATTTTCCTTTAAAGTAAGAATAAAAAAATCGGAAAATTGAAAAAAAAAACGGAAAACAATTTACCTCTGACAATTCCACCAGAAGCTGCGTCTCTGTGAGTTGCATGATAAATTGAACGCCTTCCAAGTTCATATGCTGCTTTATCATCCATATTAAAGTCATAAAGTGAATCTAAAACACCATAAGCGAACAATGAACCGGAACCGACACTGAATACTTTTCCTGGTGTTCTTGTTCCTTCGGAGTCAACGTAGTAAAGTGATGGTCCACGTTTATCCCAACCAGCGATCATCATTCCTGGAAAATTAAAATAATTCAATTACCACTTGTAATTTGAAATAAGACTTCAAATACTATTTATTTTTAAAAATATATTGGAAAGCCAACGCGAATCTTTTGAGAAGCAATAGAAGAATCATATTTCAAAAGGTTTCGAATTTTATTTTATTTTTTTGGTTTTTCTAGAATTACTAACATTCAAAATAACAGTAAAAACAAATAAAGTTAAAATTATTATTTTAACATTTTTTGTTTTCAATTAGTGGTAAAAAAAATTGCCATTCGATTAATTTAGAAGAATTTCGTAGAATAAATTATTAAAAATGACAAACTGTATATTTTTAAAATTAAATTATTTAATCACTTCTTTTTTAAAATTATGTTTTTTCTTTAGAAATCATCATCATTCTTAAATTTAGAAATATTTCAAATACTTTTTTTTGGACTGTAAATTGAATACGGGATAATTATCAGTAAATAAAAATTAATATATTTATATTTTAAGACACTTTACCAATACTCAGACCCATTCCTTTGTAATTATAAACCATATTTGACATAAGTTTACTGGCGGCGGCAATAGAAATGCGTTCTCTGTTTCTCAATTCATATAAGCGACATTGTTTCGTTAAAACACGATCCCAATAAACACAATCTGCTGCACCTCCGGCTATTGTTCCCAGTAGATAATCATTGATTTCAACAACTTTCTTCATTTTCTGCGAACCTTTTTACGAAAAAAAGAAGAATTTAATTTTTATCGTAAAATTATCCTATTAGATAGGATCATTTTTTTTTTTGTGTAGAAATAATTTGTAATTTTCAATCAAGAAGAAAAGAAATTTAATAAATTTCATTTTTTTATGTAAAAATATAAATTAATATAAATACTATATGCAAACTTCTACCACCAATAAAGAAGATAATAATTATAATTCATAATTAAAATAATAAATGATCTGTATACAGGGTGTCTAACAAATGCTAGGATAAAAATTCCCTGACATTTCCCTGACCTAAATTACACTAAAAAAATTTTATTTTGATGAAATAAAATTTATTTTGATACAATTAAATCATTTACCTGTCTATTATCCACTAATTTCATATGTATTTGAACCAAATAAATAATGAACTTCGTAAAAAATAAAATATTTAAGTGAAATAAATAAACTAATTTGGGACGTGTAAATATTCTCAACATTTAATTTAAAAGAATTTTTTCGGCGTCAAATCTTAAATTATCAAATTTTTATTTAGTAAAATTATATAAAGCAGATTTTCTAGTACATCGAATTTCAAATTAATACAATTTCAATTTAACGGAATTTATGTCAAGAAAAATTACATAAAGAACAATTTTTTCAACAGAATTGTTATTTTAGTAAATTTCGATTTATCAAAATATTTACTTAACAGAATTTCTATTAAAAAAAAAATTCTTAATTAAGAAAGTTTTTATTAAAAAAAATTTTAATTCCAACTAATTCTTATTTAACAGAATTCTCATTTAAGAAAAATTCATAGGTACTTAGTTCTCTTTTTTTTGTCAATTTTTATAGACATAAATTTCGTTAAATTGAAATTATATTAATTTAAAATTTTTTTAAATTATTAGAAAAAATGCTTTATAAGAGTTCTGCTAAATAGAAATTCTTTTAAATCGAATTTTAGTTAAATGTAAATTGAAAATTTTGCATAATATAAAATTCACTTTATACAATTTTGCTAAATAGAAATTCGATAATTTAATATTCGACGCCGTAAAAATTTTTATAAGTTAAATGTAGATATTAGCATTAAATAATAAAAATTATTCGTATTAGCGAATAATTTACTTTATTTGAAGTTGAACCGATAAAATAAAATTGTATCAAATAATTTTTATTTATATTAAAAAAACCAAATATTTCACTGCAAAAAAATTAATTAATTATTATCCAAGTTTAAAAAATCATTTATTAGATTCAATAAATAGTAGTAAATAATTATTTACTTAATGAATATAAGATATATCACATACTTAATAATTGAGCGTGAAGACCAAATTTTTAATTTGCATTTGCTTTGGAAAAAAAGTAAAAAAAATTTTGAAACTAATAGTTACTTTAATTTATTCATATAAAAAATTTCAGAAAATTAAAAAAATTCCCTGACTTTTCCCTGACCATTAGACACTATATTATAGTAAAAAAAAAAGAAATTTACCAATATAATTGCCACCAGTGGCTCGTGAGTCAACAGCAAGAATAATGCCATTTTTATAAATAAATCCAAGGGTTGTAGTTCCATGTTCGAATTTAATTTTAATACCCTTTCCAATAGTGTTTGAATTGTCATTAAATTGTGCAAGTTTCTCTACAGGCTAAAAAAAACAAAAATTCTGTTATAGAAGCAAATAAGTACCACAATGACATTGATTTCTACGGCGTTTCTTTAAGTAATTTTATAAGTAATTTTACGAAATGAAATCTTTAGTGTTTCTATTTAAATGTGTCATTGTTTCCTTTAGTCAATTTCTTTTTTATTTATTGTGATTTAAGTACACGAAAGGGCAATACTCGTATATAAATAATAATTCGGAAAATGTTGAACATAACCTAAAAATCGTATTTTATATATCGCATTTACATTGTACAAAGAAAAAAAAATGTTTATTTTTTTTTTTTAATATAAATTTGTTTCATTCAGTCCAATTTATTATTTTTATAATTTAAAAGCATTATTTATTCTTAAAAATGAAAATTGTGACATGATGATGCACTTTTTGAAAAGTATATTTTTTAACATTAAAATGTACTTACATTGGCAAAAGGAGGTAGAGAAAGTTGTAAATTATTGGAAAAATTTCCAATATTAAATTCACATTCGACACTATCATTTTCATTTGCTTTATTCAAATTAACATAAGAATTAAGACCACAAATTTCTGCGAGCGCCATGTTTAACGTTGTTGTAATTGTAATTTACCAAATCACGCCGCTTATATTTGTTACCGACTAAATTTGAGAAAATCAAAATAGTTCCTGGCGCTCAAAGTCAATTTTTAAAATTTCTTTTTTTTACCGACAATAACGAATATTTAATACACATTTCTGTTGATAGACGTCGCTTTTTGTATGCATTTATTATTTCCCTAAATTCCTCACTATATACATGTCTATTCAATGGTCGTGCTCGTCGATGGTCACGTGATCATGAAATCCATCCAATCAAAAAATGTCTAATGTACCACGTGACATGAAAAATCGAAATGGTGGACGTATCAGGACGCAGGGTTGGATCATGGGACGCAGGATCCCGTCGGAGTCGAAGGACGAAAAACTGGGCAAGGGCTCCGAACACAGCCGTCACCCGTTAGCCGTGTCATCGGTGATCGGTTCGCGAAAAACGAGTGCAACAATTTTTTTGTGTAATAATAAGACTCCTTTCATTTTCTAAACACGCGGAACAATTATCGGCTAACGTGTGTGTCTCAACAACCCAAGTGTCAACCTAGTCTCTCTCTTTCTCTCTCTTTTCTCCATACGTACACTCCCTCGGTCAAAAGTTTCAGAGAAAAAACAGGACGCTGATAATAGGCGTAGAAAACTCCTTCGTCGTGCGTGTGAAACTGAATTGTGTAATTAAATGGTGTGATTGAATGCGCGCTACAATAATCACTTGGACTTAATTAATAAGCAACAGTCTGGCACGGAGGTTGGGTCTGCGAAAGCATGTTCCAATCCCCTATGGATACCTTGTGATACGAAAGGATGTCGCGAGTAATACATGGTTCGATTTCTTACCAGTTACCCTAAGGTAAGAAAAATATTCATTGCAAATGAAACATGTCGTGTTTTACTCAATATCCGGGAGACATTAACTTCCCGGAAGATCATAATTTTTTTTTCTTTTTTTTTTTTTTTTATCACGGCAAAGTGATATGAGGACGACCTCACGTCCACTGTGTGTTGATATTTGCGAGAGTCAAGTAGTCAATCTTAGTTGATTAGTGAATATTATTGTCTCACATACTAGTTTATCGCTAAGAAGACAATTTTTTAATTTATTAATTACAACACTTGACTTACATAGATAAATTTATCGCTACTAATATTTCAGTATATTTTCTATTTGATAAAAAAAAAAATTAAAAAAAGAAAAAAAAACAATACAGGTGAAAGTGATCAATGGTTCTCAATGTATTGATTTTGGTGATAAAATCTTATTTTACACATGTCATAAGATTATAAAACAAAATTTTTTAAATAATTTAAAGGGATTTTTTTTCTCATACTTTCCATTTTGTTTTAAAAGGAAAGTTTGTTTATCTATATCAGATGGAAATTTTGTTTTTTTTTTTTTTTTTTTGTCGTTCCACATATTTATAAATGTAAACTCCAAATGAACATAAATGTCATTCGCGAAATGATTCACAGCGATCGTTACTTTATCAAAATAGACTTGTAAACAATGTTTCGATAAATATTTGTTAAGATTAAATTACATTTTTTTCAACAGAAAATGCAAAAATAATGTTTCAAGGTGTTAATAAAGTTGAAAAAATTGAACTTTTTAATTTTTTAGAGAAAAAAAAAAAAAAAATCGAATGAATATTTAAGTGTTATCCTGAGTCAGAAAATTACAAAGACAATTTCATTTTTCTGTTTAAAAGAATTGTGACTCATTTTTTTTTCTTTTTAAAGTAATATAATTGTAAATTGTATTTTTTTATTCGTAATATAATATTCTATTGAACAAAATTGTTACGATTTTTTTTTTCTATTTCCGAAGTATTTCCTGTTTTTAATAATATAGACAAGAATGTATAAAGATTTTTCTTTTCTTTGTCAATATTTTGATGCTTATCTATTTTTAAGGACGTAGTTCCGGGCAAAGTAAAACAGTTATTTTTCACACTTGAAGCGAAATAATTTTTTGCAGTCGCATCCAAGAATAATTTTTATAAAAGATTGTTTAATAAACCCGAAAAAAAATTGATATTTTAATGTGAAGAAAATATATCGATCATTGCGAGAAGTAATTTTTTTTTTGGACAATTTTTCGATTTTACAGTGAGAAAAAGTAATTACAGATGGTAATAATTTTTATTTTCTGTATTTATTCAAAAAAAAAAGTTTCGAAATTTTGACAGTTTTAGGTTATGTTTAAACATATTGCTGTTAAATCACCAGAAACGTGATTTAATGTTTTTTTTGGGGGTGTAGTTTTACGATTTTATGGAACAAGTAACGTGAAATTTTTTTTTTTTTTTAATAAAACATTTACATCATACACTGAAAATTTTGAATAAAAAACCAGAAAGTGTTACAAAAATATTGAAAATAATTATATGATTTCGAAATTTTAACCTAAAAATAGCTATTTTTAACTATAAATCGAGAAAAAAAAGAAATTTTTAACAATTGGTTTATTTTATTAATTTATTTTAATTTTTTTCAGATGCAAAGATCTATACTCAATAAACAGAAATAATTAGTGAAAATTCTGCAACAAATATGTTAAAATACTCTAAAGGTGCAAAAAGACCCAACGAGGGTGGAAATTTATATATTTTTGTAGCCCAGTGATGGAACTAAGTTACTGTATGACAACAATAGCTAACCCACGCATAGTTTCCATTTGACATAATGAATGGCTTGATAATAGTTGAAAAGTTGTTAGAAGTGGGCTGCTGAATATACTATATTCAAATAGTGTGTCATATTGTGATATCCTACATTAAATGCACAATATCTTTACTTGAAAATACTCTGTAAATTATCCCTTCGCAGAACAAAAACAAAAAAATTTCCCATTATCTACCAGCTTTTTTTTTTTTTTTTCGTTTTTTGTTTTCACTCGACAAGAGACTAGAATTTAATTAAAAAAATTTTTGTCCATTTTTTTTTTTAATAAATAAAAATTTACAAATTCTGGAAAAAACAAATTTTTTTAAAAAATATTTTAAGTGATATACAAAAAAAAAAAGTACCTCATAAAAAATTATTTTTTTAATCATTAAAACGTATATATATATTTTTTTTTAAATGATTGAAATTTTGAAAAAAGAATCAAATAGAATACTGATGAGATTTAATTAAGAAAAGAAGGAAACAATGAACAAATAGAGTATGGAACATTTTTAACAAGAGTACAATGTACACGAGATATTTAAAATACTTTTATTATTATCGGAAATCTACAAGAAAATCCGAAGGAAAAGCTTTCACACGATATTTTATGGATGATAGAGGAGAAAACTTTTAACCCTTATAGTCAAAGGTTTGTATTTTAAATTGATTTTATTTTGGAAAATTTAAATTTAGAATTTCTAAATTATTAATCAAAAAGGCGTGAAATGGGATTTTAGTGCTTTCTTCTTAATATTCATTTTGAAAGTACAGCAGTACTGATCTGAGTTTATTTTTACATTGGCACGCGTGCAGCTGTTTGTGATTTCATATCTTGTGAGAAATATACAATTGGACATGCCAAAAAAGCTTGTTTGAAAATTTCTTTCGGGGGATTTTAATCGAAACATTTACCAAAAAAAAAATGTATTTTCTGTTAAATAATTGTAAAATAGAAAAATTGGATTTTTTTTTACAAAATTACTTTTCTGTAAAATTAGATTTACATTTAAGAAAAGGGGTTTAAAAGAAAAATTTTTCTTAATTAAATTTAAAAACAATTCTTATAAATAAAATACCAAAATTGGGAGAAATAGATAAAATTATTTACCTTATTTATCAAATAAATAAGTTTTGTGAATAAAATTGTCTTTTTTTTTTTCTAGGGTTAAAAATCATGGACGGTAGTAGTTCAGGAGTGGTGCAAGTATTCGTGGGAGAATGGAGTCCCGAATACGAAGCACTTTCAATTAAAGCAACCAAGCAAACTTCTTCTGCCGAAATCGTAGAGTGTATCATCGAGAAACTAAAGCTTGAAGATAGTACAGCCTCAATTGGCTATGAATTAGCGGAAGTAGTTGGCAATTCGGTTGGTCAGGAATGTAAGGAAAGAAGATTGGGTCCATCTGAGTGTCCTGTAGCACTTATGTTGCTTTGGCCGAAAAGTGCTGCTCAACAAGAATACTACAGGTAATAATTTCATTTTACCTTTCTTTAAAAAAATTGTTTACAATTTAAAAAAAATATTTAAATTTCTTAATCCATTGAAAATAATTTTTTTTGTTTCACTTTGCAGGTTTTATCTGAGGAAAAAGCAACCTGACTATATATGGACAGATAGTAGATTTCCAATGGATCCTCAATTATTAAAGGACTATTTCAATAGATTCCTTTATCAGCCACGTGACAAAGAATATCCAGATCTCTGTCAGTTACCTGATTTAAATGAACAAACACTATTGGATAATTTGAGAGCAAGATTTTTAGCGGGCAAAATATATACCTATGTGGGAAGTATATTAATTGCTCTTAATCCATTTAAATTTTATCCAATTTATAATCCAAAATATGTGAGTCTTTATCAAAATCGAAGACTAGGCACTGATATACCACCGCATATATTTGCAATAGCTGATGCTGCATATCATTGTATGTTAAAAGAAAAAAAGAATCAATGTATTGTTATTAGTGGTGAAAGTGGATCGGGTAAAACAGAATCGACGAATTTTCTTCTACATCATTTGACGGCCCTTAGTCAAAAGGGATCACATGGAAGTGGCGTTGAACAAACGATACTCAGTGCTGGTCCGGTTTTAGAGGCATTTGGAAATGCTAAAACCGCGCACAATAATAATAGTAGTCGCTTTGGAAAATTTATTCAAGTGAACTATAAAGAAAATGGAATGGTTCATGGGTAAGTCTTTTTTTTCAATTTTTGTTTTCCTATTATAGAAATTTTATAAATAAATTTTTACTTAAAGTAAAAGAAATTAATTTTCCTTTTTCTTTTTCACATTTTACAGAGCCGTGGTTCAAAAATATTTATTGGAAAAATCGCGAATCGTTTCGCAAGGCAGAAACGAGAGAAATTATCATGTATTTTATTATCTGCTGGCCGGAGCAACTGAACAAGAGAGACAAACACTTCATTTGGAGAGTTGCGATCGATACAATTACCTTAACAAAAGTGGTTGTTATGGCTTGGAGAATGTCGATGAGTTACATGAATTTTCAAGACTGAAACAATCGATGGAAATGGTTGGATTTACCCCGGAAAAACAGAGGCGACTCTTTGCCGTTTTATCAGCTGTTTTATTACTTGGTAATTAATTTGCAAAAAAAAAAATGAGACGAAAAAAAAGAAAGCAAGATAAATTAATGTTAAATGGAAATTTTTCTAATAGGTAATGTTGAATTTCAACCGAGGAAATCCTATCATCATCATGACGAGGCAGTGGGAGTCAAGAATCCTGAAGTTGTTGCATTAATATCGGAATTATTGAGGGTAAAGCAAGAGACACTTCTTGCTGCACTCACCGCTAAACGTGCACGTGCATCGGGTGAAACTCTTGTTATTAATTATAGGCTTCCAGAAGCAATTGCAGCAAGGGATGCAATGGCAAAATGTTTATATGGAGCTCTATTTGATTGGATTGTTCTCCAGGTGGGTTTTATTTTTCACTTTGCCTGACTATAACTTCATTTTTGTGCCTTAAATTCGATCTGAGGCCTGGACTATATACATTAAGATAGTAGAAAAAAAAATTAATAATAAAAGTAATTAAATTAAAATGTTAAAATTGAAAATGATTTAAAATAATATATTTATCAACAGGTGAATCATGCGCTTCTCTCAAAAAAAGATACACTAAGAGATCATCAAGGCAATAGTATAGGTGTTCTTGATATTTTTGGATTTGAGGATTTTAAAACATGCAATAGTTTTGAACAACTTTGTATTAATTATGCCAACGAACAATTGCAACATTATTTTAATCAACATGTATTTCAATATGAACAAAGGGAATATCGAAAACAAAATATAAGATGGACAGACATTGGATATAGTGATAATTCAGCTTGCTTAAATCTTATCGAAGGCAAGCCCAATGGACTTTTGTGCCTTTTGGACGATCAGTGCAAGTAAGTTTATTTTTTTTTTATTTTTATAAATTAAAAAATTTTTTTTTTCCTATGAAAATATTAATTTTTAATTTTAATTACAGTTTTCCTGGTGCTACTAATGAGACGCTATTGCAAAAATTCAATTCTGTTCATAAGGACAATTCATTTTATGAAGCACCTCAACGACGTGAGGCTGCATTTGTTGTTCGACATTATGCGGGTTCAGTTAAATATCAAACGTCAAATATGAGAGAAAAAAATCTCGATTTGATGCGACCTGATGGTGTTGTTGGTGTATTGAAAAATTCTTCTCTTGCATTTGTACGTGAATTAGTTGGTGCTGATCCAGTTGCTGTGTTTAGATGGGCGATACTTAGAGCATTCTTTCGCGCGCATTTTGCATTTCAAGAGGCAGGAAGAATTCACAGACATGGCAGAAGTAAGTTTTGCTATTATTTACAAAAAAAAGTAAATTTTTTTTTTCATTAAATATTTATTTTTCTTGAAATATTTTTACAGCGGATGGTAATAAAACATCTGTACAAAACAGATACAGAACACCAAATGAGAATTTAATAAGGTCAGTATTTAAAAAAAAAAAAAAAAAAAAACAAATTTTAAAAAAATTTTCCATTTACAATTAATGTTTATGTGTGCCTGGTGATTTTTTTTCTGGTTCTATTATTTTAATATATTTATAAAAGAGATGAAAAAAAATTTAATTAACAGAGTTTAACATAATTTTTTTTTTTTTTTTGTGACTTTTAGCCTATTTGTAAATTATTTTTATTCTTTGCATTTGATTTTGAAAAAAATAATAATTCAGCAGTTTTAATATTAAAAATTACGAAGAGTTGAGAGAGTTTATTTATCTTTGAGAATTAGAAACAACAAAATAAACTATTGCACTTACGATGGACACATTGTCTTTTGTCCTTGTAGCCATCTTGTGACGTTATCAGCCGTGAATCTTGCTATTAACCGAATAGCGTAAGTGGTCTTCGATCCACTATGTGTGTTTGTTCAAAAAAAAAAAAAGAAAAAAAAAACCATTTGTTATATTCAACTTATGGATTTGCAAAGTTTAAATTGAAAAAGTCATATTTATCAGATAAAAGTTTAAAACAATGAATCGTTAAACAAAAGCAAAAAAAAAAGTATTATTGTAAATCCATAATGTTTATTAGAGAACTGAATGTTTAATTTGAATTTTATAAATTTAAATTTTGTTCCAAAGTTGATGTTTGTTCGCACTTTAATGTATTTATTATATGTTATAGAATTAGTTTTCATATAATAATCGCGTCATAATCATCAATTTGTTTTGTTTTTTTTTTACTTTTTGTTTCACATAATAATGCATTACATTTCTCTACAACTCTTCTTAAAGCATGACTGCGAAATGGTATAAAAGTAGCGATATTAATCCGATTGTTCATTCTCATCATCATTTGCATTTTTTAAGAAAAAAAGAGAGAAAAAAAAAAAGAAAAAACATGACACAATGTTCATTCTATCAAAAATAACCATCATGCTTAAACTGCAAAGAAATAAAATAATTAGATTCTAAAAGTGGAAAAACAAAAATTAGAAATCAGGCTTTTTCTTTTTAATATTTTTTCACATTTTTGTTAAACTGTCCTGAATATGGAAAAAAAATAATTCTTAAATAGAAGAAATTGAGATGAAAAGGCAAAAACAAAAGAAATGTGTTTAATTTCATTATATTTCGATTGAACAATTTTTAGAAATCATATTTATCATCTATTTTAAAATTTGCTATTTCAATAATTATTTTGGTAAATTTTTTTCTTTTTCCTTCTTTCGCAATGCTGCGAATCTTTTTCCGGGAATTTTATTTTTTTCGAATTTCTACTTTATTGAATATTTATCTAAATTATCATTTAACAGAATTTATATTTAACATAATTTTTATCTAGCCAAATTTTCATCAAATTGAATTTTTATTTCAATCAATTTTAATTTAGTAGAATTTCTATTTATTGTTAAATGCAATAACTTATTTTGTTAAATATTATTTATCTGATAATAATTATATAAATAATAAAAATTTATTTGATATTTAAAAAAATAAAAAAAAACCATTAAAGAAAAAAGACAAAAAATTTTTATTTTCATTTTTTGAACAAATAGAAATATTTTGTTACGAAATACGAATTTACGATTCTGTTGGCATTTTTTAAATTTATTTTTTTATTATTTTGTAAATTTATTAATTATTATTTTTTAATTTGGTCAGCTGTGTCTGATTGACAATTAATTAATTATTAAATAATATATTTGTGTATTAATATTAAAATTTAATTTCGAATTGTTTCTATCGAATAAAATTTAAAAAAAATGAATAAATAAAAGTTCGATTAATTGAAAATTCTAACATTTAAAAATTTGGCTAAAAGGGAATTTTTTAGAAAAGAATTCTGCTAAATAAAAATTTGTTCAAATAAAAATTTTCTTTAATGAAAATTGATTTAAATAAGAATTCTGTTAAATGTAAATTGAGATAAATAAAAAATAATAAATAATAAAAATAAAAAAAATAATAAATAAAAAAATTAATAATAACAAATATATAGAATATTTTTTCAAATCTTATGAATATCAAAAATACCTTTTTTCATGAAAAATTTTTTTTTTAAACTATCATGTTATCTAGAAACGTGAAAAATTATTCTCCTAAAGTATTGTATTTTTTTTTAATAGTTTGAAATACACTGAATAAAATTAATAATTTTCTAAACTTCGTTATAAAGAATCTTTAATCGTAATATAATGAAATAACAAAAAAAAAAGAAATGACAGACAGTGATGAAATTTCGAGACGTTACTTAATTTTCTATTTAATTGAAGAGAATGTAGCTAAGCATGAAGGGACTTTTTCAGTTCGCACAAACAAATTCGCCCGCCAAGTTATCAGAAGCAGCGAAGTGTCTGCTTACCACCGATCACCCCATCTGCCACATTAACTGTCACACAAATTGAAAACAACGACAGTGTTAACAACAACCGGTTATCATGGCCACAATTTAGAAATATTAATCAGATGCAACAGCCTTCAATTGTAACGACAAAAAGTTACATTGTAAGGGAAAGGGAAGAGCAGCCCAATAGTAATAATAGATTCAGGCGTGATACACATACGCCACTAGAGAGGGTACTTCCAAATGACGAAGCAAACGTTATGGAACGTGCGAATCGAATTGTCATGTATGTAAATCGCACCTATTTGATAATTGATCGTATAAGCTAAAAATAATTAAAAAAAAAAGCGAGGAGAATTTGACACGAGTATTATTGGATTTAATATTCTTTTCTCTCTATTCTCTATCTCTACATGGGTAATGGGTTTCTTCGTGTAGGTAATGGTATTTTCTCGTAGAATCTTTATGGACAATTCTTTTTTTTGAGAATTAAATTGTAGTTAAGCACACACCCTTATCCCCCCAAGAAAAAAAACTGATAAAATTGGTTACGGGTTACTTTAAATTAGACAAAATATAGTCACACATTTTTACAAAATATTCATTTTTCGCCAATCACGTGTTTTGCACCTTCGGATCAGAACGCATGCTCTATATATATATATATATAGGATTTAGATTTAGTATCCGTTAGGTGGTAGATTGTTTTTTTTTTTTTCTTAGAAAATGTTAGATCTTTAGGAATTAATTAATTTCTCTTATTTCGTTTTTTTATTGTGTACAGGCTTCTTTTAGTTTTAGATTATTTTTTTTATTTTAAAACAGAAAAACGATTAAATTAGAGAATCCAATTGAAATATATTGAAAAATGAATTTTAAATTGCTTTATTTTTTAAATTTTTACAATGCTGAAGTCAAACGTTTATGATCACCAATTTTTTAAGACGGAAATTAAAAAAAATTTTGTCTATAATATTTTTTATTTTAATTTTAATTAATTTTTAATTTTATTTTAATTTTCAACTATATCAAGATATTTAAAAATTTCGACAAAATTATTTTTAAAATAACTTTTTTGCAAGGAATTTAATGGTAATAATAAAAAAAAAATTTTGATCACTTTTTGAATTTTATTTTTTGCAAAAAATTAAAATATTTTCAAATCCATCTGTAATTTTGTCCAAAATGTGTTTCTACATTTAAAAAAAAATTGCAGATATAATTTTGATTTTTATTATTTTTGAAGTATTTTTTCGAAAAAAATTAGTTTTTAGGCTATAAATTCTCAGAATAATTACAATTATAAAATTTTTTATTAAAAAATTAATTTTTTAAATTTTTTTAAACTAATTTCCAACTATTAAAAAATTTAAAAAAAAATTTTTTTTTTAGATTTCAAACGCTTAATAAATTTTACTATTAATAATAATAGCGTTTAGAACCTAAAAAAAATATTTTTTTAAAAAAATGTTTTAATGGTTGGAAATTATAAAAAAATAAATGAGTTTATTAATGTTTATTAATTAATTTATTATTATTTATTTATTAATTTTTTTTTATTAATTAACGAAAAATGAGTTTTTTAATAAAAAATTTAAAAATTGTAATTCCTAAGCATTTATAGCCTAAAAAGTAATTTTTTTTCGAAAAAAAATGCTTCAAAAAAATAGTAAAAATCAAAATTTTCAATCGGCATTTTTTTTTTAAATGGAAAAACACATTTTCGACAAAATTACGGATGGATTTGAAAATTTTTTAATTTTTACAAAAAATAAAATTCAAAAAGTGGTCAAAAAAATTTTTTTTTTTATTACCATTAAATTCTTTGCAAAAAGTTACTTTAAAAATAATTTTGTCCGAAATTTTTAAATAAATATCTTTATACAGTTGAAAATTAGGGTGTGAAATATTTTTGTGACAAAAATTCATTGAATTTTACAATAAAAAATTATATCTCAAAATCGTTGATACTAAACGTTTGTAAACTTCAGTATCGTATTTTTTGATATTTGAAAACAATTTTTTAATTTATTTTTAAAAAATTTTAATGTTTAAATTTTTTTTTCATGATGTAAAAAAAAGAAACGCTAAGCCTGTACATATGTGCATGATTTCACTTACATTTTTTCTCACTGATTGGCCACTAATCGAGTTACAAAACTTGACAATTAAATATAACCCTACATTTTATGCATGATTGATAATAATAATAATAATAATAATAATAATTTAGATAATAACAAAAAAATCATGCTTACCTGCAGTCTTCAGAAAATGCCTGCTGCCTGTAAAATTACAGATCAATCCTTTTTTTCACATTTATATCGAATTACAATTTAATAGAAAATCATTCCATTGATTTATAGACATTTTTTTTATGCACTTTTCAAGTTTATAAATATTTAGGTCACATTTTCCAGGGTTTATTAAAATTATCCAAATTCTTCTTTTTGTCCAGAATTTGATGGAAAAAAACCAGAAATTTTTATTACATAAGTATTTTAATTTTTCCAAATCAGAAAATTTATTAATTTTTAGTTGAACGAATTCTGGCAAATTGAATTTTGGAATAATTTTTGTATTTCCCTTTATCATATTCGACTGTAAAAGAAAGACATTTTTTTTTTTTTTTTGTATAATTTTAGCTATTTTTCATTTGAATCCTGTTTTTTAAACTATAAAAAAATGTAATTGATTTGTATTTTTTTTTTTTAGGAAAAACAAATCGTTTCGGCCACGAGAACGGGGCAAGAAAGGCCTAAAAAATTTACAAACTGTAAAAACACTCGCTGGTAGAACACAAAGTTATGGAACTGGTCCTGGAAAAGCGCGTAAACAACCAATGACAGTTTCAGCTCAATTTCAACAAAGTTTACATAGTTTAATGGACACATTGAATCAAGCGAATCCATTTTTTATTCGATGTATTAAGAGTAACGCGAACAAAGTACCAAATGAATTTGACGAAGAAACAGTTCAAAGACAATTGAGATATACAGGAATGTTGGAGACTGTTAGAATTAGACAAGCTGGTTTCAATGTGAGATTAACTTATGAAGAATTCATTCAATTATATCGAATGCTCCTTCCAAAGGGATTATTGAGTTCACAAGCTGATGTTAGACATTTTCTATTGACATTAAATCTTGACAATGATAATTATCAACTTGGAGCGACAAAAGTATTTTTGCGCGAATCAGAAAAAATTAAATTAGACATTAAATTACATCAGCAAATAATTACAAGTATTACAACAATACAAAAATGGTTTAGAGCATGTTTAGAGAGAAGAAAATTTTTAAGGTTAAAAAATGCTGTTGTACAAATACAAGCATTTTGGCGTATGATACTTGCACAGAAATTTGCACATTCATTGCGTACACGAATTGAAGCTGCAATTCATATACAATCGGCATGGAGGGCATATAAAATTCATAATTGGTTTAAAAAATTGAAATGCTGTGTAATAACATTCCAGGCGTGTGTGAGGGGTAATAATGTTAGAAAAGCTGTCGCTGATATGAAGAGAAAGAAGAAACGTGATATTATGTTTAGATCGGATGCAAGGGGAGAACTTCGCGATAAAGAGTGAGTTGATGAACAATTTTTTTTTTTTTGTTTATTATTATAATTTAAAAACAATTTTTAGAATTATGAAATTAAAATTAAATTTTAGATTTGGCAGTGAAGATTCAAGGAGTTTCTCATCGTCCACGGAAAGTAGTGTCTTCACTCGTCGTCTTGAACCTTATGAACGAGTTCTTCCATCAAGGTAATTTTCAGTAATTTTATTAATGATTTTATGTTACAATTCAGATCTTTATTTCAATTTGTTTAACAAATTTTTAACTAAAATTCTTCTCTAAATTAATTATTTTCAATAATTTTAATGGATTTCTTCACAAATTCAATCGTATATTTAATTATTATCTTTAATCATTTACCAATTAAAAATTCTATGAAATTCAATAACTGTTTAAAATTAAAAATTTTAATTCAAAATTACTTGAAATTCAATTATTTTCAAAAATTTCAATTTAAAACCTAAAATTTTCCATCTGAAACTTTCTGAAATTTAATAATTTCAACTATAACTTTTCGGAAATTCAATTATTTTTAATGATTTTCCATAATATTCTTCGAAAAATAATTATTTGAAACTCTTTTTCAATTAAAAACTTTTAAAGATCAATTTTTGTCTATAAATCATTGAAAATTTCAATCAAAAATCACTTGAAGTTTAATTATTTTCAAAAAACTGAATTGTAAATTTTAGAAAATTTGATTATTTTTAAAAAATATTTCTCTAAAATTGTTTGATAAATTATTATTTTCAATTCTATAAAATTTAATTATTGTCTGAAATTTAACAAAATCTGTTGATATTAAATTATTTTCAAAAGTTTCAACTGTAACTCTACCAAAATTCAATAATATTTAATATTTTTTATTTTTTTTTTCAAAATTCAATTATCTGAAAGTATTTTTTAATTAAAAACTTTTGAAATTCAATATTTGTTTGTAATTTCTAATAAATTCTTCAGTAACAGAAATCACCGAAAATTTCAATCAAAAATTACTTGAATTTCAATTATTTTCAACAATCTGAATTGTAAATCTTCAAAAATTCAATTATTTTTCAAAATGGTTATTTAGATTTACAAATGGGCGATAAACCCTAAAATTATTTTGTAAACTATTTTTAATTCTGTAAAATTTAATATTATATTCTGAAATTTAATAAAATCTGTTGAAATTAATTTTTTTTCAAAAGTTTCAACTGTAACACTTTAAAAATTCAATTATTTTTAATAATTTTAATGTTTCTTTAAAAATTCAATTATTTAAAAAACTTTCAAATGAAAACTTCAGAATTTAGTTGTTATCAGAAATTTTAGAAAAAAAACTACTACTACAATTTCCCAAAAAATTTATTTAAAATTTAAAATTTTGTGCAATTTAAACATTAAAAAAAAAATTAATTTAAAAATCTGTAAAACGTAATTATTGTCAGAAATTTTTTTATTAATTTTTTTATAAATTGCCAACTATTGGAAGTTAATGGATTAATTGAATTTACATAATATAAACGAATAAGTATGTTTGAATTTTAAAAACAATTAAATCAAAAATAATATTTAATTTTTTTAAATAATTGGATTGAAAAAGTAATTGAATTGCAAAATAAAACAAATTTAAAGTTATAATTAAGTTTCATTTTAATTTAATTCTCAGATAATTGGTAACAAACTTTTGTCTTGAGCATTTTTTACGAAAATTTGTAATTTTCAAGATATTTGCAAATTTTCATACTTTTTAAACACCCGTATATAAATTTCTATGGAATTGATTTAAAAAAAATAGCATTTTTTGAGATTTCACTAATTATAATTTTGTTTTATATATAAACATTAATTAAAAAAACGATTTAAAAAATGGAATTTTTGAAAAATGGTATTAAAACTGTTGAAAAAAAATTAATTAAACAAAGAATTATATAGATAAAAATTTGAGGAAAAAATTGTAATTAAATTTCAGAAGATTTTAATTTAAAACTTTCATAAATTTTAATTGTTAAAATTTTTTTTTACAAACTTTAAAGAATAATAGAATTTTAGAGTACAATTTTTAATTAAAAAAATTTTTATTTTCCTGAATTGTTAAAAAACTGTATAAAAGTAATTAAAAAAAATTAATTTAGCGAAAAATTTTAAATAAAATTTTTAGAAATAATTGAATTATAGAGAATTTTAGAGAATTTTCGATTGAAAAATGTTTTTAAAAAAATTAAATTTTCGATTTTTTAAATTTTCAATTAAAATTTTAATAAACTTGAATTATTGAAATTTTTTTAATAATTATATAAGGGACCATTCATTAATTACGTAAGGACAATTTTGGATAATTTTGACCCCCCCCCCCTACCCCCATGTAAGAATACATAAGATTTTTTGAACCCCCCCTCCCCCTTCTTACGTAAGTTTTTAACAATATTAATGTAATTAAAAAATTAATTACAAATAATACAAATGGAAAATACTTGGCAAAATCTTATGTAAGAATAGCTTCTACCCCCCCCCCCCCCCACCCCCGACGTAAGACCATGTAGAGATTTTATAAACCCCCCCTCCCCCTAAGAACCCTTACGTAATTAATGAATGGCCCCTAAGGGTGATTCTCTCAAAAAGAACAAATTACTTGTGCACAATTTTTGACGAGGTTTTTGTTAAAAAATAATAACATTAATTTCAATTAATAAACATTCTCCCAGCCATACGATAAAATTCAACAAATTTTTATGGGATCACTAAAGAAAATTTCAAAAAAATGGCAAACAACTGAATTATTGAATGAAAACTAGTGTTAAAACTCCATTCCGTAACTCCATTCCGTGACATCAGTTTTTATTCAATATTTCAGTTATTTTACCTTTTTTTTAAATTTTCTTTAGTGGTTCGATTGAAAATTGTTAAATCCTAACGTATGGCTGACAGAATTTTAAATAATTTCAATTAATTTTCATATTTTTTAACAAAATACCTTAAAAGCGTAATTTGTCCTTTTTGAGAGAATCACCCATAAACAAAAATTTAATTTTAAAGAATTAATAATTAAATAACGTTTTTTGTATTTGAATTTTTGAAAAACTTGATTAAAATAATAAAATTATTAATTATTTATGAAAATAATTAATAGAAAAAGAAATTTAAGTTAAAATTTTTTAGAAATAATTGAGTTTTGGAAGAGTAACAGTTAAAATTTTTTGAACTAATTGAATTTCAGTAGATTTTCAATTAAAATTTACATAAATTGGAATTTTTTTTTAGATATTTTATAAGCTTTAAAGAATAATTTAAACTTTGGTGAATTTTGAATTTGAAAATGTTTTAAATAATTGAATTTTCGAAAATGTTGATTAAAATTATTAAAATTAAATTATTCAATAAAGAATTTTAGATAGAAAATTTAGAAATAATTGTATTTTAAGAGTTCGAATTAAAATTTTTAGAAATAATAATTGAATTTCATGTGAATATTAATTGAAAATTTCATATTAAATTGATAAACAAATTTTTTTTTAAATTTAGACAATAATTGAATTTTAGTGAATTTTCAATCGAAAACTTAAATCATATAATTTTCAAAGAATTTATTTTAAATTATTAAAAATAATTGATTTTGCAAACAATTCAAGTTAATATATATTTTTAATAATTGAATTTAAAAAAAATAAAAAAAGTACAATCCGAGGCCTGATATAGAAAACTTTTTGAATTATTTTCATTAGGGTGAGGGAAAAAAATTTTTATTTTAACTGAAAATCAAGGAAAAAGTTGGGGAAAAAAAAATATTTTTTGTGTTAATCCTGTATAAAAAATGTGAATTTTATATTTTTTCAGAGTCGATGACATTCATCAAGAGCCATCATTTGATTCATCGCTCGCCTATCGTAAAGTAGTGCCGAATAAACGTTTCTTTAATGATCCAATATCAGTGTCAAAATCAAGTGAAACATTTTATCCCGATGTGAGTAATGAGAGAAAAGGAAGTCTCGAAAGTTTAGCGAGTCTTCGTAGTTATGAATCTCAATTAAGTATCGATAGTTCTGAATCGCATCATTCACAAGAAAATTCCAAACCCATACCAAGTATGAGAACAAGACGAAATGAACAAACATCAGTGACATCGGCAATGATAAATACCAGTCTAACAAATACTGCCAGCAGCCAATTATCAAGTAAAAGAACCGATAGTTCATCAACTGGTTATAGTGATGGTGATACTGATGCTGAGACACCAAGTGCCGTTCACAGTGCACCGCCTGTTTTTAATACAACTCCATTTTCAAGTAGTCGCGATATGGCTTATCATTTATCATCATTGAATATAACACAAAATCCAAATAGCAGTGGCGATAATATTTGGAAGAAACGTTCTGATTTACCACAATCATCATCGTCATCATCATCATCACCGTACAATGATTATTTAATGCAAATACCACAAAAGGCAACAGTGACACGTTCACAAAATGTTTCACAATATCGAAATTTAACTGAAACACTATTGGAGCAAGCGCGACTTGAAAGACTCAATGAGGCATCAAATTATAATGTTAAAATTGTCAATCCAACTACATGTCGCGAACAACGAAGACTCAGTGATAATACTTATCAAAATGAATGTGCTGATAGTATTCATAGACGTGAAAATATTTACACTGGTGGTAAATGTATGAAAGATTATAATTATTTGAGAAGGCAAAATTCAGAAGGTGATACAAATTTAAAAACAGATGATGCAATGAAAATTTCAAAAGATATGAGAGAAAGAACAATAGTGAGAAATAAAGAAAAAGAACCCGATGTACCGGTGAGAATTGGACGAAGAAATCGTTTACCACGTGAAGTTCAATGTCGTTCAATGGGCGAGAGTGCAACAACAGATGTTAATACAAATGAAAATAGAAATCTATTTCTTGGTACAATACGTGAAAGTGATTTAAAAACAGGTAATGTTTGGATAAATAAAGAAGAGAGAAATATACCCACCGATTGGTCAACAAATAATAAAAATGATGTTGTACAATTTAAAGATCAAAAACGTGTTAGATCAAATGCCATAAATTTTGAATTACGTCGAAGAAATTCAGATCCAGCGACAAAAATTTCTGTACTTGATGATAAAACAACTGATACTAGTCCTGATTTTAAACATGCATCGGAAAGTATTGAATGGAAGGGTAATTATTTTACATTAGCTGGTCATCGTTTTCGTAAAGTTGCAAGATTTTCAAAAGACGATGTTTGTGTATGTTGTCATGCTAAAATGGATGCATTTGTAACACAAGGTTATAAATGTAATGATTGTAAACAATTATATCATGTTAAATGTATACAAAATGGTGGTGTATTAAAAATGCCATGTATGATGGCAAATGCGCCAAATAGAAGGAATCGTAAAAAAACAGGACGTACGATATATGAAAATGTTAAACAAAATGTAACATCGAAATTTAGTTTAACTGGTACATCAGCATTTTCAGATAGTACAGATAAAATAATATCTGATGCTAAAGAATTGGCATTAATGCAAGATTTTATAACGAAAAAAATTTATGCTATGGAAAGTCAAGAGGAGGGAGGTAAAAGAAATGATGTTGATCGTGTATTTAAACAGGCATTGAGAAAATTTAAAGATGATTTAGTGATAACTTATAGTGTGGCAATACAACAGGGTATTGAGGGTAATATTAAGTATACGGATTTAATTGCTAATTTTCTTCATGTTATTGAAACAGTTTGTAAACAGGAGAATACAAGGGAAGATTTTCCTGTTTCAATGGGTGTTAATGCATTTCGTGGATTTATGAATGAATTTATGAAATTGTCAAAAACGGAAGCAATTGAAAAGCAAAGTAAAAGTAAGAGGAAAAAGGAGAAAAAAAGAAAACAAGAGGAACCAATAAGACATGGTAATCATATGTTTCAATTGACAATTATAAATATTCCAACGGCTTGTGAGGTTTGTACATCATTTTTTATGTGGCCAATTGAAAGAGGATTGGTTTGTCAAAATTGTAAATTAACATGCCATAAGAAATGTTATACAAAAGCATCGGAATGCGGTAAAGAGGGTTCAATAAGTGAAATAAATTCACGACATGTTTTTGGTGTTCCATTATATAAACTTGATTGTGGTGATGGTAAAGTTCCATTGGTTGTTGATCGTTTAATAACAACAATTGAAATGCGTGGTTTATATACGGAGGGAATTTATCGAAAAAGTGGTGTTAGTTCAAAAGTTAAGGAACTTAAAATGAAAATGGATGAGGGCGATTTGGAGAAAGTTGATTTTGAAAATTATCAAGTACACGTATTGGCTGCTGTTTTAAAGAGTTTCTTTCGTGATATGCCTGAGCCATTACTTACATATGAATATTATGATGATTTTTTGCATGCTGCAAGTTTAACTGATCCTCACGATAGAATAAGTACGTTGTTTGCAATTTTGAAAAAATTGCCAAAACCAAATTTTGATCTTATGGAACGTCTTATTGTTCATTTGGCAAGAGTTGCAAGACACGAGGAGGATAATCGTATGTCACCATCGGCATTGGCTATTGTTTTTGCACCTTGTATATTGAGGACAAATAGAATATTACCGGCGCAAGATTCATTGCAAGATGTTGGTAGGCAAACACGTTGTGTTGAGACAATTGTTCAGGAAAAATTGCGCGTTGTTCGTGCAACATTGGCTGATATTAATACATTGGAAACGGCGTGTCATACGGCGACACATCGATTATCGAGTTTGAGATCGTCGAAAATATTTAGTCCTGAAGAATTAAATGTAACATCATCGAGTCCAGTGTCAAGGGGAACAACAGTTGAAACAGAAAGAGATCGAAGCGATGAGGAAGAGGCAATTCTTGTTGGTCATATTAAAGAAATTGAAAAAGAAAAAGCTCTTCTCACGTCAACATTACCCAGTTTAACGAGAGCATCGTCCGATGATGATCTTCTTCTCTCAGCAACTGATCTAGACGATGGATCATTGGACGATTTACTACCATCTGCTGGTATGAATTTTTGATTTTTTATTTTCAATGACAAAATTATTATTATTATTATTATTATTTAAGAGGGAAAATACGTGAAAAAAATTGAAATTCGGGTCAAAATTTCTCAAAAGGATTAACTAAATTTTTCAAAAAGTAATTAATTTTCAATGTTAAATCGTTTTTTTTTACTTCAACTGTTATCAAAATAAATTTCTGAAAAAATATTAAACCAATTTTTTTTTTGTTAAAATTATAAACAATTAAAATTTTATCTGTTTTAAATAAAAAACAAAAAAAAATTTCGAGATTCAATTGACAAAAAAATATCCCTAAAGTTTTGAACGTTCAAATGAAAGAATTTTTTTTTTGTTACTTTTTGTAAGTTTGGATTTTAGTACAAAATATTAATTTTCACATTAAAAATTGGATTATTTAATGTTGAATTTATTTTTTATTAGAATACACGTTGAAGTACATTTCTAATCAACGTTTAGAAATTAATTTTTATTTAACACGAAAAATTATAAAACAGTTTATTTAAAAAAAATATATTTTTTATAATTTCTTGATTATTTATTTAAATAATAATAATAATTATTTATTAAAATAATAATTACATGTAATGAGAATTTGAATTTTTTTAAAGCAAAAATTATTTTTAAATATTACGTTTCAAGACGAGAAAAACCGATTTTTTGTATTTAAATTTGTTAATTGGATGTTGAGACAAATTTTTATTTTTTTTTATTTAAAACAGCCAAAAATTTCAATTATTTATAATTTTAAGGAATAATTTTTTTTTGTAGGCAAAAAAATTATTATTTTCCAAATAAAAAATATTTTTTTCAATCGTTAATTATAAATATTGTGTGAACTTCAGTGAAAGTTGAAAATTTGAGATTATTTCAATACACATAAAGATGAAAATTACATTAAAAAATTTTTTTAAATGAAAAATTAATAGAAAAAATATACTTTAATTAAATAGAAAAAATTTATTCAGTAAAATAAAATGAAAATTAAATAGTAAAGTTTTAAAAAAAATTTCTACTCCATTTCAGCTTATTTTACATAGAATAAATGAAATTTAATTTAATTTAATTTCGAATTTAATGAGATATTCAATAATTTTTTTTTAAAAAAACTTTTCTTAACTTTAAATTTGATGATGGAAACGCTTTTTAAAATTGAAGCTGATTTTTAATAGTACTTCCCGGTAGAGGCGAAAGCACACTAATTAGGATGTTAGTTTTTATTATAAATTAAAAATGTTTTTTATTTAATAAACTTTAAAAATAAAACTGCATTTTGTAATTTTGTAAAATATTGAAAATGTCGTAGATAACAAATATTAAAATTTTTTTTCGAAAAATACTATCTATACTTGAAACTCGTCAATAAGTAAAATGTCGTTTTATAACATGTATTTTATTGCACAATTTTGAACTTCAACAAGTTATTTACTGAAAAGTTATTGAAAAACTATTTTTGCTAGAATTCAATAACTTTATTTCTTTTTTTTTTTGTTGTTTTTTTTTTTTTTGTTAAGTGTCAAACACTTTTTCATGAGAGTGACAAGCAATTTCGTATTTTTCATGTAGTTTACTTTTTGCTTCATATATGGAACGAGGGAAAGTAATTGACGATAAAACATTTTTATCTTATCCTCTCATGTTTAAAATTGTTTCAAAAAAAAAAAAAAAACAATTAAAAATCGTTCACAAATTATGTCTCTTATTGTTTTATAACTCAATAATTAGCTATGTATTTATATGAAGCGTACGATGTAATTTATGTATGAATTGTTCTTTAATTAAAAAAGTTATGGACGCGGTATTCAATTTTGAATCAGTATAAATTACACGTTTGTTTATTATTTAATTATTATACTCGCAAATTGTGGCTAATAAAAATTTATTACAATTTTACATGATTAATAAATCAATTAATAAACCGTTGATGGTAAATTTTAATTTTTTAAAGCAAACATTTTGATTGTAAAAAAAAATTTGATGAAAACGAAAAAAAAAAGATGTCAGGAAAAAGAAAATATTTTCTGAAAGTCAGGGAATATTATTTTACGGCAATATAAAAAATACTATTTTTTTTTGTAAATATTAAAAATATTTATTGTATTGTAATAATAAATTTTTTTTTCTATCATTTTTCAGACGGCCTAGTCAGAAAAAAACCAATTCAAAGACAAAGCTCAGCGGACAACTCGTTTCAGACAATCATTCACCATGACGAGGATATGGTGATGGTATGACGAGAATACATCGTCCAAAAGACACGTCTCGGTTAAGTACACCAATCAAAGTAGATTATATTATTAACTGAAAATAATGTCAGTGCTGCCTGCGTGAAGCTTTGCGAATCGCGAGTCTCTTTTTGAAACAAAAAAAAGCATTTGTTGACAGTTAACTAAATAATAATAATAGCAAAACTTGACTCTAGATAGGTTTAGTAATTTGTTGAATCCAGATAATGTTTTTTGCGAGTGTGGATAAAACAGATATATATATATACATAAATATGCGATATTATTGCATTTAATGAAAGGTGAAAAAAAAAAAATTCTATTTTATCTTTCATCATTCTTGATTCGTTAAAAGAAAAATTTACTTCCGAAGAATGAACTTCATGAAGCATGAAATAAAAAAGAGAAAACTTATCAGGTATCACGTTTTCCAAATTGCACTTTGCAATAAATTATTTTTTATTATTATTATATTATATTATTATATATTATATTATATTACATATTATTATATGATTCTTTAATGTTAAAGTTGTTGTATGACGCTGTTTTTTTTTTTTAATTTTTTTTTTTAATTTTTATTTGTTTGGTGGATGAAACGACGTAGTTCTTTCATCTGGATATAAGATTCTGTACAAAGAGTGGAAAAGGCGCTAAGGCGTTAGACTGAAAACAAAACAAAAAAAAGGAGAAATATTGAAAGAACTTCAAAATGATGATTTATTTACATTTTATAAAATGTGATTAGATATGCGATGAGAGAAAATTAGAAAACTAAGCGAGAGGGATAATGAAGGAAACGAGAAACCAAATTCTAGTTTGTAGTGATCCGATACGCTACTACGATTTTCAATTATACATTTTATTCATTCATTTTTTATCTACATATATATATATATAACCACACATAATATTCAAAGCAAATATCATCGGATATAAACGCTTATTATCATTCCAATGAATCTGTATATTTTAGCAACGAATTTTTTTCTTTTTTGCACCTTTATATTATATATTTTTTCAATTTTCTTAGCATTCCTTCCCCACCACCCCCTTTTTTTTACCCCTTTACCCCTCCCCTCTAATATTATCGAGCAACATTTTTTTTGCACTGCTCAGAACTGAACTATTTTTTATTACCTAAAATCAAAAGAACGATTTTTAGTTTTTAAAATCTTAAGTTGGGGCTTTTTTTTTCCTTTTGTATTTTGTAATCCAATGTCTTTCAATTATATTTCAGTTGAAGACTTTTTTAAGTATAACTAAAAGTATAAAAAAAAAAAAATATATGCTACGCAATGACTGAAAGAAAAATTTTTTTACAGTAATTTAAGAAATGCTGAAAAATTATATATTTATGAAAAAAAAAAAAAAATTATAAGGAATCGAAAATCTTTTTGTACATCGAGCGCTTTATAATCGAAGATAAAGATAATCGAAATTGAATTTAAAAAAAAATTACGTTATTGCGTGGCTAACGATCGACGCGTATTATATTTTTTAGCGAAAACAAGTTTTTTTTTTTTTTTTTTCAAATTCTCAGCGCCGATTACTTCGACGATCGCTTCTTATCGCGAAAGTGTTTATAAAACTGAAGAAGTATCTTGTAATCTATTTAGAAAGTTTAATTATTATACACAATTTATATTGTATGTAATTGAATCGTTCCTGTTTAAAAAAAAAAATGAATGTCTGTTTTCTATTGCTATGTATAGTATCTAGTTGATGATGATGATGATGATGTGAGTCGAAATTTTAATCGTTTCATCTTGCGTTTTTAAATTCGTTTCAAATTTATTTTAGAATTATTATTATTATATTATTATTATATTAATATTATTATTATTATATTATTATTTTTATTATTATTATTATTATTATTATAATTATTATTATTATGTATTATTATAAAAAAGCGAGTCCCTTTTAAACATAATTTTTCATGTGAAAGAAAAAAGAAAACTGTCTTGTCTGTTTTCTATATAAGATAAAAATGTATAAATTGCTCTACGATATTATATATGTACAGTATATCCATGACATTTGAGCCTTCTCTCAGCGGAAAAAAATCATAGAGATTCTAAAAGTCATTTATTGAAATTTCAAGACGTGCTTTCAGGAGAAGACTCACTGACCAAAAAAAATCGTGAATAGCTAAAAAAAATTGTTTTAACGACTAATAGTCGAGAGCAAAAAAAATTTTTTTTTTAATTTCATTTATAATTTAATTTAAAAAAGAAGGTATTTTCGGACCAGTGAGATTCTCTTGAAAATTTGTTTTTTTTTTTTTTTTTAAATATGATGAGCCGAATTTATTTGCGCACAGTCATTTTTATAACGAAGAGGAAAAAAAAACAAACTTTTTTTTTGAATCACGAACTTTAAGTATAATAATAAAAATGAATATGTATTATTATTATTTTTTATTATTATATAGTCGAGGCATAATCGTATAGATATGTGGGTAACAATTTATTAATTAAAGAAGAAAAAAAATGAAAATACTAATTAATGTTACGTGAATGCATATTACGCTTGAGATTCAGACTTTCAATAAGCGCAGTGCGCAAGCAATGATTCTACTCGACAGTTTCTTATATTGAAAAAATAAGCAAAAGAGTGAGAGAGAGAGAGAGAAAAAAAAATGAAATTCTCTTTTAAAAGCTTTGAAAACGAGACGATAAACAGCGAATTTCTGGGGAATGTTATACGTTAAGTTAAATATATATATATTATTTTTTAAAATCTTTTCGTTCTTCGGATGTCGTTGCTCATCGTTCGACACGATATCATTGCGAAAAAAAAAATAAAAAAAAAATAAAAAACTATGACAATATTGTGTAATCCATGATCAACACCATCGATGCAACGTGAATGATGATCGAGTGCACGACTTTTGTTTAAAATATCCCGGATTATTTTTCCGAAGATACGCCGAGTTTATAACGACGTACACACATATATATATAGTCACTCTCGAGATGTAAAAAAAAAAAAAAATAGATTGTTAAGTCAATTTTTTGTATAGAAAACCTACGATACTATTTTTTATTTTAGTTGATATCTTTTAAAGATATATTTAATATTTTTCGAATTAAGAAAAATTACATTGCGCTTTTATTTATTATTTATATATATATATAAAAAATAAATTCTCCAGAAAAATTATGGAATTTTAACAAAAATTGTTTTTGTTTTTCATTTTAGTATTGAAACAAAAAGAAAAATCAAAATTTAAAATAAAAAATTTTTAATTTATCGTTTGTGATTATATATATTGATTCAACAATCTGGAAGTTAAATGATATAAAAAAAATTTCATTTAAAAAAAGAATCGCTTTTTAGTGTCGAAAAAAAAATTTTTCTTAAAAATTTACTGAAATTTAAATTGCAATCTCGAATTTTTGAAAAAATTATTTAGAAAAATGTTTTTTTTTTCCCCCTTTCTATATTAATTTTTCATTCAGAGAAAATAGAATTTTTTCTTAAAATTGTAAAATTCATTTATCCAAAAATAGAGTTTCGAAATTAAAAATTTTCTCATTTCTTTATTATTACGAAATTTTATACATTGAATTGAAATTTCATGAATTTTTTTAATAAAAATGTCGACTAAATTAAATTTTTGTCTAAATGCGAATTTGGTGATTTGAAAATTGTGCCAAAAAACAAAAAATTCGGCCAAATAAAAATTTTATTAATTAAAAATTTAGTGATAAGTAGAAATTTGTTTGGTAATTATAAATAAATAAAAATTAAATGAAATTTTGATAAAAATTTGGCTAAATGAAAATTTTGAATACAAAAAAAAAAAATTCGAATAATGACAAAAGAGATTGAAGAAAAATTATTTCAACCAATTTTATTAAAGAAAAATTCAATTCAATGCAAAATTTTATAATTTAATAAAATTTAGCTAAATAAGAAATGAGGAATTATGAATTTCAAATATGTAATTACAAATTTCGCCTAAATGAATTTAAGGGAATATTTCTGCGTCTGTATAAAAATTAATAATATTAATTAATTAATAATAAAATAATATAAATTATAAACAAAGGGAATTCAATAAATAATTGAAAATAAAATTTGAATAAAAAAAAAAATGCGAGATTGTGAATTTTAAAGTAATTAAAAAAATTTCGCCCAAAATGAATTTACGGAAATATTTTTCTGCGTCTCAGTATAAAAATTAGTAATATTAAATTAATTAATAATAAAAGACGTTTAAATTTATGGCTTCCAACAAAAAAAAATTAATTAATAATATTAATATACAAATTGAAAACAGGAGAATTGAATAAAGAATATTTGGCAAAAAATAAGTAATAAAGTATTGAATTTCAAAATAAATACAAATTTCGCCCAAAATGAGTTTAAAGAAATCTAATAAAAATTAGATTACTATAAATAAAAAAATTAAAAATTTCTCGCAGAGGGGAGAGGGGAAATAATAAATAATTTAAGTACATTTCCTCGTTTACAACTTATATAAATAATTAAATATATATAATTGTTCTTTTAATGAAATATTTTCAAAATCAGATATAAACGTTTAAATATATTTTTTTTAAAACAAACTCATAATGTAAATATTTATAAGGAGAAAAAAAAACCCACAAAAAAAACGGTAGGAACTCTCGCGTAGGTTCGATGCTTCCTCTTTGAAAAAAAAAATCAAATCAAATTGACAATTGTCAAGTATATGTGAATGATATAGAGAGTAAGATTCATTTTACGATAATAAACGTCGCGAAAAAAAAAGTAAATGCAATGTTCTTTCCATTGTACTTGGAAGTACAAAAAATAAATGTGTAAAATGTATACAATATGTGAATTGAGAAAAAAAACAAACAAAATATTTGCAGTTACGATTTGAAAAAAAAAAATTATTCAAAAAAAATGAATAACAATGAATATTATGTGTTACCGGAATAGGGACCTATATTATATACATATATACAAATATATCTATTGTGTATATATATATATAAATATATATATAAATATAAACGTAGCAAAATAGCAGTGAAAATTCCCCAAGGCAATTTTCTTAACGCTTTGAACTTTTCTATGCTATTCTTTTAGAGTGAAAATAAAAACTACGATTTCGATTGACTAATGGCGGGTTTATAGTTCCTAAGTTGAGATTCGAGATAAAAGACTCATTTTTTTTTACAGAAAAAAAGTGTTTTTTTTTTTTTATTTTTTTTCTCGAATGAAATAGAAAGTGTTTTTATTATTTTAGCTTTAAACTATAAGTAGAAAGAGAGAGAGAGAGGGAAAGAAAAAAGAAAGAAGTTGTGGTAAATTAAATTTGAAACAGCAGGTCTTATACGCTAAAATCTTGGAAAGTTTAACAAGTTTATGTGAAGCTTTAATCTGGAAAGTCATCTTTTATAGAGGGGATTAATCTCAGCTCTTATTCTTTAAGTTAGGTCGTAATTCCGTCATAAGTCAATGGAGGAAAGCGTGACTGCCAGCATCTTTTTTTTTTTTTTTTTTTTAAAGAATAGGTTTTTTTTTATAATCTCTTAGCTTAGTTTCTGTCATTACAAAGACGAACAAAAAAATATTTTTTTTTTTTTAAATGGCATTTACTCAAAATATAGAATGTGACGAGTATTAAAAAAAAGGAGTTCTTTATGTGTATATAAAAATAAGTGAGGTGTTTAATAAAAAAAAAAAAACCTC